GGTGCCGACGCCGCCGCTCCCCGGAGACCCCCCCCCCTCCAGGGGGAGCGCGCCCTGCCCAGCACGGGTCCCAGGAGGCTCCCGCCATGGCGACGAGGCCCCCCTTCGCACACAGAGGGGCAGAGTTTTATTTATGTATGTATATATAGTTATATATATATATATATGTACACATATATGTATATGTATATGTACATACATATACATATATACATAAATATATACATGTATACATGCATACATGTACACACACATACATAAATACCTGGATACGTACATATATATACATATATAGATATATACATACAAATCTACATATATATATATATAAATACAAATATACACATGTGCGTATATGCATAAATACATAAAAATGGTGCGTGCATGCATATACATGCATACATGTATACATGCATGCATACATGCATACATACATACATACATACATACATGTATTACATTACATAACATTACATTACATTACATTACATTACATTGCAGTACATTTACATTACACTACAATACATTACATTACAATACATTACATTACAATACATTACAATACAATGCAATACAATACATTACATACATACATACATACATATGCATGCATGCATGCATACATACATACATACATGCATACATACATACACACACATACATACAGACAGACAGACAGACAGGCAGACAGAAAGACAGACAGACAGACAGACAGACAGACAGACACACATACATACAGACATATTGAAGGGGCCCTGGGGCACACAAATAAATACACACAAGTAAAAAAGGAGTCCCCATATTTTCCTATAGTTTCTGGGTTTCTGTCTCTCCCCCCACTGCCCAGATTTTCCCATATTTTCGGGGGATCGACGATTAATTGTGTCTGTGTGTGTTTCCCCTCCTGATATATATATATATATATATATATATATATATATATATAATACAAAAAGGAGGAGAAGGAGGAAAGTTGAGGGGCATGACAGCGCGACGACCTCCACAAGACTGCCGCACAGACATGTGTGTGCTTGTTTTTCAGTCGGCGGCGAGGCAGAGTTGGCTGCCCAGCGATGGAGCTGGACGGGGGCACCGAGAAGCGAAGTGGCCAGCATGCACGAGCGGGAAGAGGACAGAGGGGGCGGCCGCGGAGAAGCTTCGCATGGACATGCAGTTTCGGAGGTCCGCGCGGATGTATTGGATCTGCGCTGGAGCCCCCCCCACACCTGGCGCCTTCGGCGCCGCCCCTGGCTCCAGCGCCGACCCAAAAAAGTCAGCGCGGACCTCCAAAAGTTCGAGTAGGGGATCGACTACAGAATTGATGTGGCCCAGAATTGATTTTTCAGTCGAAGTTGCGATGAATACAAAGATTGTTCCGTATGTCTACGAACTTTCGACCATTTTCGTTTGTAGATTCGACGAGAAAACCGATCCTTGGGTAAATCAATTCCTCGGTCGATCTCCTACTCGAAGAGTTGAGGTTTCTGCAACCTGCTGCTCCTCGACTCCGGGACCAGCAGCGGCCTGGAGGCGGCCGGGGAGAGTCTGAACTGGGTGGACCTCCAGGAAATCGGCCACAAATCCGCTCCCTGCCTGCCTCCAAGGTGCCCCGGGTGACTCGGGGCTCGATGGCTCTCTACGATGGAGAAAAGCGAGGCCCCAAAACATCCATGGACATCCTGGGGTCTCAGGCTTGGGTCTCTCTTGTAGAGGGTCTCTCATGGTCGAGCTCCCACCCCAGACCCCCGACGCCATGATTTGGTCGTGACCCCGACCCCCAGGAGGTCTCGACCCCCTCCCCAAGGACCAGCTTCTCGTCCCGAGCCGTTTTTTTGGACGGCCCCGGCGGGGGCCCCCCGGGGCCGAAAGATCAAAAAAGCCCCGCGAAGTGATGTTTTCCCTACCTAGGCTCTGCCTAGAAGGGTTCTTACTCTCTTAGCTTAAAGGGGCCGGGCAGTGCTAAGCGCCCCGGGCGGTTCCCCCAGTCCCCTGGGAGCGGTTCCCCCCAGTCCCCTGGGAGCTTTAGCTTTAGCTTTAGCTTTAGCTTTAGCTTTAGCTTTAGCTTAGCTTTAGCTTAGCTTTAGCTTAGCTGTAGCTTAGCTTTAGCTTAGCGTTTCGCTTAGCTTTTCGTTTAGCGTTTAGCTTAGCTTTGGCTTAGATTTAGCTTAGCTTGAGCTCAGCTTGAGCTTAGCTGTAGCCTAGCTTTAGCTTAGCTTTAGCTTAGCTTTAGCTTAGCTGTAGCTTAGCTTTAGCTTAGATTTAGCTTAGATGTAGCTTAGCTTTAGCTTAGCTTTAGCTTATATTTAGCTTAGCTGTAGTTTAGCTTTAACTTAGCTGTTGCTCAGCTTTAGCTTAGCTTTAGCTTAGCTTTAGCTCAGCTTTAGCTTAGCTAAAGCTTAGCTTTAGCTTAGCTTTAGCTTAGCTTTAGCTTAGATGTGGCTTAGCTTTAGCTTAGCTTTAGCTTAGCTTTAGTTTAGCTTTAGCTTAGCTTTAGCTTAGCGTTACTGTTACTACTAATGCTGCTTTCCTAGGGGTTCCAACTCCTAGGTAGGGTCGCACTGGGATAATTTTATGGCTCGAGGGGGTCTGGGTCGAGATCGGCCCCCAGACCCCCGACGCCATGATTTGGTCGTGACCCCGACCCCCAGGAGGTCTCGACCCCATCCCCGAGGACCGGCTTCTCGTCCCGAGCCGTTTTTTTGGACGGCCCCGGCGGGGGCCCCCCAGGGGCCGAAGGATCGACTAACCCCGCGTCGTGATTCCCTACCTAGGCTCTGCCTAGAAGGGTTCTTACTCTCTTTGCTTAAAGGGGCCGGGCAGTGCAAAGCGCCCCGGGCGGTTCCCCCAGTCCCCTGGGAGCGGTTCCCCCCAGTCCCCTGGGAGCTTTAGCTTTAGCTTAGCTTTAGCTTTAGCTTAGCTGTAGCTTAGCTTTAGCTTAGCGTTTCGCTTAGCGTTTCGCTTAGCTTTTCGCTTAGCGTTTAGCTTAGCTTTAGCTTAGCTTTAGCTTAGCTTTAGCTTAGCTTGAGCTTAGCTGTAGCTTAGCTTTAGCTTAGCTTTAGCTTAGCTTTAGCTTAGCTTTAGCTTAGCTTTAGCTTAGGTTTAGCTTAGCTTTAGCTTAGCTGTAGCTTAGCTTTAGCTTAGCTGTTGTTCAGCTTTAGCTTAGCTTTAGCTTAGCTTAGCTTAGCTAGCTTAGCTTAGCTTAGCTTAGCTTAGCTTTAGCTTAGCTTTAGCTTAGCTTTAGCTTAGCTTTAGCTTAGCTTTCGCTTAGCTTAGCTTAGCTTTAGCTTAGCTTTAGCTTAGCTTTAGCTTAGCTTTAGCTTAGCTTTAGCTTAGCTGGCTTAGCTTTAGCTTAGCTTTAGCTTAGCTTTAGCTTAGCTTTAGCTTAGCTTTAGCTTAGCTTTAGCTTAGCTTTAGCTTAGCGTTACTGTTACTACTAATGCTGCTTTCCTAGGGGTTCCAACTCCTAGGTAGGGTCGCACTGGGATAATTGTTTTTCATGGCTCGAGGGGGTCTGGGTCGAGATCGGCCCCCAGACTGCTCCCAGGGTCCCATCTGTAACCAGCCTCGAACGTATCCCTGTCCCTAAGATGGGCGAGCAAAAAGCGAGGACAATCTTAGGGATAGGCCCTCAAAAACCGAGGGAATCCTGAAGATCGGCATCGAGGCCAGGTGATGTCAAACATAGGGATAGGGACATGCTCCAGGCTGGCAAATCTGGTGCACCTCTGCACCCCAAAGCCCTCTCGACGGTCCTGGGGCCCCGAAGCGGCCACGACAGAGGCCGGCAGAAGGGCAGAAAAGCCTCGTCGGGCCCGGCGCCTCGAACCTGCACTCGCCCTCCCCAGACCCCCATCGGGTCATGAACAAAATCACGACGGGATGTTATTCCCCACATGCTTCGTGGGTTTCTCGACACCATAGGGGGTGCGCAGGGGGTTGTCGACGAGGGTTTAGAACGCAGCATTGCGCATAGATGATAATGACAAGCAAACACATAAGATTAAAAATCAGTATGTGGGGTTCCTCGGTAGCGTAATTCCTTGTTTTCGGCCCTCGGGGGCCCTCATCGGGCCTCGGGACCGCCAAGAAACGACTCAGGATGAGAAACTGGTCCAGGGGAATCGGGTCGAGAACTCTGGGGGTCGACGTTATGAAAAAATCATGATGTCGGGGGTCTGGGTCCTGACTGCCTGCCCGACCACCCTAACCTAATCCGAAGATGCCCAAATCTCGGGTCGGGTTGGGAGGGGTACGGGTTCCACATGCGTGTTCCAATGTTCCCCGACGCCCCCCCCCCCCTGGGACTGAAGGCGAATTGGGGCTTTCGGGTTGGGTTCGGGTGGTTTGGTAGGTGGTGACCTCCTGCTCGCCTGAACCAGTGCTCCCTGAGATACGACGTCTCGAAAAAAACAACAACAACAAAAAAAAAAAAAACATCGCGAAAAATCACGGCTGGAACCATAGACCCAATCTTTCCGCGTAATGTGTCAAGCTGGATCGATCTGGGAGAGTTCTTTTGTCCAAATCTGGGCCAACACGCCCGGCTCGCCAAAAAATGGGACGCCAGGGAGGGAACCGAACTCTAGACACTGACGCTTTTTCCGGCCCTGCACTGAAATTTGCACAGGAAAGCGGATCCTCGTGGATACGGGACCTAGTGTATACAGTGTTCCTTGTTTCCCCAGAAAACGGAAGTATAACACCGGAGACAATCAGAGTCTTTTTTGATCTTATTTGAGATCCCTTTGTCATTGCTCCTTAGGTTTATGATGTCTGCGAGGGCTATGAAGGCCACGAGGGCTAGGACTATAGGGCTGGGGCTATAAGGCTATAGGTCTATAGGGCTATAGGGCTACAGGGCTATAGGGCTATAGGGTTATAGGGCTATAGGGCTATAGGGCTATGGGGCTATAGGGCTATAGGGCTATAGGGCTATAGGGCTGTACGGCTGCAGGGCCATAGGGCTATAGGGATATAGGGCTATAGGGCTATAGGGCTGTAAGGCCATAGAGCTATAGGACTGTAGGGCTATAGGGCTATAGGGCTAATAGGGCTATAGGGCTATAGGGCTATATGGCTATATGGCTATGTGGGCTACTGGGCTATTGGGCTATTTGGCTATAGAGCTATAGGGCTATAGGGCTGTAGGGCTGTAGGGCTATAGGACTATAGGGTTATAGGACTACAGGGCTACAGGGCTATAGGGCTGTAGGGATGTAGGGCTCTAGGTTTATAGGGCTATATAGCTATAGGGCCATAGGGCTATCGGGCAATAGAGCACCAGGGCACCCAGGCACCCGGGCACCACCTGGCACCTCCGGGCACCACCGGGCAACTCTGGGCACCCCCGGGCACCCGGGCCAGCAACCGAAATCGGCGACGCACCTCACCTAACCATATGATTCCGCTGGGACCCCTACAGAGGCAAGCTCTGATTGGGGGTATAGACCCCACCACCCCGACGTCGTCCCCGACACTCAACAAGTCCTGGGAGTGAAAGACAGCTCGGCACTGGTAATGTATCTGTTCCAGCTGCCGACCAGGATCTCAAAGCTGGGTCAACTTAGACCCCCAGCCGGCTCCAAGCAGCGGCATCGGTACTCGAATGGGGGATTGATGTACCTCCGACTTGATTTCCTCGCCGAATCTACGAAGAAGGCACAGGTAGAGAGCTCGTAGATCTACGCAACAATCCTCGCACTGATCGTAGGCTCGACTGACAAATCACTCTCGGGGGTAAATCAGTTCTGCAACCGATCCCCTACTCGAGGGGTGCCCTCTTCCTCCCCTGCCCGCCGGGCTCCAGGGCGGGCGCGCTCTGCAGGCGGCCCACGGCACGCTGCAGCTCCGCGATGGCCGCCTCGTGGCGCTCGCAGGCCGCGGCCCAGGGGCGCCCGCCGCCCGCCGCGTCGTGCTCGCACTCGTCGCCGCGCTGCGAGGCTCGCGGAGCAGCAGGCAGAAGCACACACACATACACTCTCGGAGCTCCGCGCGGATTTCCTGGGACTGGCACTGGGGCCCCGCTGGTGGCGCCGCGCGGCACGGAGGGGGGGGGGATGGAGGAGGAGGAGGAGGAGGAGGAGGACGAGGAGGAGGAGGAGGTGGAAGAAGAGGAGGAGGAAAAGGAGGAGGAGGAGGAGGAGGAGGCGGGGGGGGAGAGGAAGAGGAGGAGGAGGCGGAGGAGGAGGACGAGGAGGAGGAGGAGGACGACGAGGTCCAAAGGAGTTTCGGCGACGACGATGTCGAGTAACGACTATTGGCTGCGCCGTCTCGGGGCTCGGGAACGAGGCGGCCCCTAGTGTGGCACTGGCTTGCCTTTGGACAAGCAGCTGATTACATACACCCCGTTCTTGGTCGGGCTCTTACACTCTAATCACAAACCCCTTAACACTCCCACGATCTGTTGTTTTGGACCGACAGCCACAGGTGGTGAACCACCAAATCGAACAAACAGATGCACATTGCATCGCGTGGGAAGGTGGACAGATCGATAGCATGTTTGGATGTCTTGCGTGGGACCTCGGGTACACTTAGACGCAGGACAACTTCTGCGATGACTTAGACATCTCTTGATGACCAATGCTCCTGCACGCTTACTAACTGCTTCTTTACACGCGGCACACTGCCAACGACTACGGGAAAGGAGGAGGACGTGAGGCGAGGCAGAAAGGGTCTGGCTCAGCTCACTGGTGGCTTTCTTCTTGAGCTCCTGGGAGGCCTGCTTCTCGCCCATCTGGGCGGCGGGGTCCTTGGCGTGAGCCCCGATACGAGCACGAATGAATATTTCCACACCAACGAGCAGCTTGCGCGAACCCATTCATACATCTTGAGCTACGGGGCTGCGATAGCGCCTCGAGGCTCACTCCGAGCCTCAGCCTGTGCTCCTTGTCGAGGTGGCCTGTTACGTGCTGCAACTTCACGAGCTCCTCGGGGTCTCCGTGGTCGGGGGCGCTCTGATGTAAGAGCCCTGCCGATGAGGTTCCAGATGTCGTAGTTCGCGCGACGCCGCGCACTCTGTATATGGCCACCACGCTGCCATCCTCGAATGGCCACCTCTGAGTCCGCCCAGATGTGGAGCCGTCCATATGAGCATCGTATGGCCTGTAGAATTGCCCAAAGCTCCGCCCTGTCGCGGGTCTGCCGTCGTCCTGGGAGTGGTCTGCACTGCCCAGCACCCAGCTGCGATTATTCTCCTTGTCGCTGCAGCATCGAGGGTCATGGGATTGCTCCCCCCCGCTGCCGTCGGTGCATATCAGAAGTGATACCGTCCGCAGTCGTTACCTTGCGGTCATTGCCGAAGTCGCCGATCTTGGCGCGCTGCTCTGACGCGTCGCATTCTGACGGCACCGCCGCTGCCTTGGGCGCGAGCCCACGTAGCCAAGAGCAGGGTGCGTGTGCGTTGGCTTCATTATATGGCTCGTTGTCTGATGCACTCCATCTTGTAGTAGTCCTCGCGATAGTCCTTGCACGAACATGTACCCCATACTCTGCGAAGGTCCCGCAGATCCAGCCGCAGGCGCAAGCGTTGGATGCAGATGCGAATGTCTTATGCTTCCAGCCAGACGTCCACATGCCAACGCTTGCCACCGCAGGTAGTGCACCTGCCCCATGGTGCTTCCCTCGCTCACGCAGCACCTCCAGCTTCTTGAGAAGGTCGACGGCGTCGACGCCGTACTCGGAGCCTTTGCCCAGCCAATGGTCAGAGGCCTTGGCCCATTGCTGGAGCTGCTGTGCTTCCAGGATAGCATGGATGACGTCGGATGGGTCGCCCTCGCACTCGTCGTCGCCTTCGCCAATCTGCCCGGCGTTGCCTGGGTGGTCGATCCACTCTGCGGGCGAGATCGGGCCCCGGCCAAAATTCCAGAATGAAAGAAAAAGAATGCCAATCTGACCCCTGCGCTGCCCCCATCGATACTGCGCGGGCACGTCAGCAAGTCTGTTTTGGATACTGGGCCAGGCCAGATGGGCCCAAGTGCGCAGGCTTTCTCGAAAAGCCCAGACGTCGAACCGTGCGTTGGGCACTCCGCGCAGGATGGTGACAGCTGGGTCAGCTTCCGACAGGGATAGACATGCGCGCAGGCCTCTCCCGACCCAGTGCTTACCCGAGGATTTGACGCGTCTCCTTCTGGTGATAGTGACTGTTGTGGGCACCTCTCCATAAAACTTGCACCCATAGGTCCGATGGCTTTGGCCCCTGAGTGACCAACGCCCGTTTGCGCTGAGAGCGCATCCATCTTAGAGCGAGTCTGCTGTTAGCAAGTATCTTAATAGCTTGCTGTCTTCGCTTGCTGTGTGCGGGCTATCTTGCTGGAGTCTCCCCGACGCGGTCATGGCCCAGGTCTCGGCCAACTGCTGCATGCTCAACTGGCACTCCCATTTCCCTGACGTGCATACAGATGTCGTTAGTCACGTCGCCACTCGATGTGCCGACCACGCTCTTGTCCGCCATCTCGAGGCCCTGCTCGCTGGGGCACCTGGAGTAGGCTATGTTGGCGGAAATGATGGTTGCTTTGGCATGCTTCTGGCTCCCTGTGACGCTGAGCTCCACGCCATCGAACCAGGCGCTGGGGATCGCGGCTGATCCCCATGTAGCGCATGCGATGGAGGATTTTATACATAACTGCCCTGTCCAGGTTGTTGGCATGTCTTGATCCTGCCACTAGCGAGGGCGATCATAGCATCTGCCTGCCGAACGCGGCAGACAACGCGCGGGGCTGACTCGCCATGGCGAGTCAGCCCCACACGAATCTGACAAACGCGTGGAGCTGACTGGCCATGGCGAGTACAAGGGGGGGGGGGGGGGGCCATGCGCCCGGAGGCGTAGACGACCTCCAGGAGGTCGACCGCGTCATGGAACCTTCGCATGCCAGCAAGTGTCGCGGCGTTGGCCAGCTTCAGCGCGTCGCAGATCTCGTCGCCCACGACGCGTGCATGGGGCCTCGCGCAGGCAGCTGCTGCCTGCGAGAGCTGCGTCCTGGCGCCGTCCTGCGACTCGCATCCATTCGTCAACCGCCGGTCGAGTGAGCTTCCCACAGGCCCGACACATCTGCGGTAGCAGGCCAAGCGATCCATATCCTTCCGTCTCTGGCTGGAGCACGATGATGGCGCTGCGAGGTTGCCGAGGCCATGCGAGCCCCCACTCGCAAATGCTGAACGGGTTGACCAACTGCTGGCGCCCTGCCGTTGGCAGGCGTCGTAGGTCGGAGCTGGAAACCTCGCATGCGCCACTGCCCTTGTCGGGCGTGCACATGAAGGAGTAGCCTACAGGTCGCGGTTGGCGCCGTCCTAGCGCACTCCCGGATGTCCTGGATGAGGGTCTGGAAGTCGCTGTGGGTGATGGACGGGCGTGTCCAGAAGGCTGTAAATTCCTCCGTCTTGGCGCCAATGATTGGGGCAGCACGCCCTGCCTCTGACGCGTAAGAATTTGTCCTAACGCCGCGACTGTGGTTCGGTGATTCTGCAGAGCTCGCAGACAGTGGCCTTGGAGGTGTCCGACAGCCAGCGCACGAACGAGTGTGACCTCATCTTCATGTCGAAAGTGCTGACCTTGGCGACCTCCTGCTCGGCTTGGTTCAACATACCCTCGATCGTCCCGATGTCGGGCGCGTCCAGCGTCTTAGGCCTAGACCCCCAAAGGTCACGGCGACGCGCTGCATCCGGTGACAATCGAGCTCCTGCTGCGGGCATGCCCTCGCAGACGAACTGCAGCGCTTCAGATGCGAGCTGTCGTTGCTGTCGGTCTCCGCGCCCACGTCTTCGACTTGCGTGGCACGCGCTGAAGATAGTCGCCAGCCTTCACCACATGTCTGTTGGTGTGCAGCTGTTGCGTGTACGTCTCGTCCGTGGTCTAACGCATTTAGTGCCAATTATGCAAGGCGCGCCGCGCCCAGTAAACTGCCGGCGATCCTGGGGCTGGACGTCGCAGGCCGCGCAATAGAACTTTTCCAGAGTACCCGTGAACTGACCGCATTCCTGCCCCAGAGCAGCGGCCGCCTCTGGGCCTGAGGCACGAGCAGCACCACGCCGCACGTATTCTGGCGGGCGCTCGCGTTCCGGTCGCGGCTTCGCGATCATCGACGAGACCCCCCAGAGGTCGCCCACTGCGCGGGCGTCGATCTGCTCGGCGCGCGCACCTGGAGGGAGGGCCCCTGAGAAAGCGTTCCTCAGCGCCCCGCCCACTGTCCCAGGCGCGCTCGATGGCGCCTCGGGACCCGCCTCGGCGAGGGCTCCTCGCGCGGCTCGTCATCGGATACGCGGCCGCTCTCGCTCTCGAGGTCCTCCATGAGGTCGTGCTCGGTGGAGTTCGCGCGGTGCCCAACAGCTCTGTGCACTGGTTGCCGGGAATGCCCAGGATGTTCCCAGCAGCGGCTGATCTCCTCGTCAATGTTGACGTCGCTGGCGCTCGTCATGTCCTTGGTGGTCGCCACCTGGCGCTGGCGCGCATGCTGCTTTCTGCTGGTGCCTCTTGCTGCCAGGGTTGGGCGGCTTGCACGGTGCCGGTGCATGCGTAAAATGCTTTGGTAGTTGGA